TTTAGAAATGTCTGTAAATTTATTTTTAAAGACCTGAATTATGGCATTGCATGAAGTATTCAGATCCTTCACTTAGTACTTGGTTGAAGCACCTTTAGCAGCAATTATAGCTTGGGTCTTTTTGGATATGACCCGACAAACTTTGTACGCCTGGATTGGGAGATGTTCTGCTATTTCTCCTTGCAAATCCTCTCAAGCTCAGTCAAGTTGGATAACAACCGTTGGTGGATAGCCAATTTTAAGTCCCTCCAGAGATGTTCAAGACAGGGCTCTGGCTGGGCCACTCTAAGACATTCACAGAGTTGGCCCTAAGCCACTCCTATGTTGTCTTGGCTGTGTGCTTAGGATCGTTGTCATGTTGGGAAGTGAACCTTCAGCCCAGTCTGAGGTGCTGAGCACTGTGGAGCAGATTTTCATTGAGGATGTCCCGCTACTTTGCTCCAGCCCCACAGTACAATGCTGCTGCTGCTGCAACCGCCGTGCTTCAGTGTTTGGATGATATTGGGCAGATGATGAGTGGTGCCTGGTTTCCTCCAGACATAATGTACTCTTAGGAACCATCAGTGCAGCAGAAATTTTATTGTAGCCTTCCCCAGATCTGTGCCTTGCAATAATCTTGTCTGAGCTCTGCAGGCAGTTCCTTTGACCTCGTGATTTTTGCTCTGTTACAGTATGCTTTGTCAGCTGTGATGCCTTCTTTAGAGAGGTTTGTGCCTTTCCAAATCATGCCCAATGAATTTAATTTACCATAGGTTGACTCCAGTCAAGGTGTAAAATCATGTCCGCAACGATCAAGAGAAATAGGTACGAGAGCTAAATTTCAGTAGCCCAGCTTGATAAAACTTAATAATGAACATCAACTATAATCACTCCCTTGCAAAGGGTCGGGATACTTACGCTAATGTAACATTTGAGGTGTTTTTAAAAAAATAAATTTACAGACATTTCTAAACTTTTGTTTTTACTTTGTCATTATGGGGTACTGAGTGTAGATTAATGAAAAAAATGAATTTCAATAACNGAAAAACTTGACTTACAATCATTTTTTACACTTGCAACCATTGCAACATCCTCATGGTGACATGATCAAAATCAGATGCTTGGCAACTGACTCATATTTATGACAGTTGCATTGTCCCAGGGCCATGTGTTCCCTTTTGTGACTTTCTGACAAGTGAAGTTGATGAGGAAGCCAGATTCACTTAACAGTTGTGTTACTAATCAAACAACTTCAGTGATTCAGTTAACATTTTGACAAGAAAGTCATACAATGAGGCAAAATTTACTTAACAACTGTCTCACTTAGCAATAGAAATGGGCTCAATTGTGGTCATAAGTCAAATACTGTAGGTCAAAAAAATTTATCTTCAAATTTTGTAAACATTTCTTCTTTTATGTAATAAATTATAGTAACAGTATCAATGAAATGCTATTCTAGTTTATACCTGTGTTGTTTTTTTTACTATATTCAGTTTTGATTAATATTCCTAAATTTGGTTCCACAACAATTTTGGGTTTGTAGAAAAATTGAGCATTTAAAAAAAACATTGTGAGTGGTACAAACATTATATAAAATATTAATCGAACCCCATATCCCAGTTTTTACATGCCAACTTTCATACAAGAATAGAAAGCACAAAAACAGTGTGAGAGGGGAGAAAAAGAGAAGAGGATGAGAAGGAAGAGACAGCACTAAAGGAAAGAAAAAAAATATAGGAAAGAAACTGCATGGCAGTTTAGCATGCCTTGATGCAGAATCAGGAATAAATCCTCAATGCTTTTTTGTTCTGACCATTTGTGATAAGATCAGAAGTTAAATCCATTAATCTAACTTGTAAACGAATATACCTGGATAGCCTATTAGAAAATTTGAAAATATCTGTGAAAAATGTTCTTGTATTTGTTTCACAGGGAGATGTTCAAAAGAGCACAAGGAAGAACTCGTATTGGAAAAAAGAATTTCAAGAAGCGTTGGTTCTGCCTTACAAGTAGAGAACTCACTTATCATAAGCAACGTGGTATTGTACTTTTTTTTAATGTTAACCTTTCAAGTTATACAGCTTGACCTGATGGTGATAAATGGATTATATGCTTCAATTCCAATGGTTAAGAGTACATTATAATATTGTACTTGTTCAGTATAAACAAAGTACTCTTTTATGTTTTTAATTATGTAATTTTTCAAAATGTAATAAGTTTACAAAACTATTTGCCATTGGGCTTATATGTATGTGAGTTAATCAGGATACTGTAGACAAATGTATACTTTTGAGTTGAAAAAGCAAAAAATGAAATATTGGATTCCTTTCCTGTAAGGTTATTCATTCATTCATTGCAGATACATTCCCAGCAGAATACACTGAGTTTACCATCCTGACCAGATGCTTCACTATCCTTATCTTTATCACATATAATGTATTCCCCCAGGAATTTGTGTTTTGCATTATCTTAAAAAGTTAAGGGTTAATGGTTTTATTTATAATTAAAGAATTTATTTTTTCTTGATCCAGATAAAGAACCTATATTCACCATTCCAGTCAAAAACATTCTTGCAGTAGAAAAACTTGATGAGGGTGCATTTAACAGGAAAAATGTAAGTAACTTTTGAAATAACATCAAGCATGGAAAATTCTAAAATATCATGTAAAAGTGAGAACTTTAATGCCAGTATACAAAACTCTATTCAAATTCTTGTTACATGTACTGAAAAAGCAGTTGTATGTTGATTTTGAACTACAAAGTGTCCTCAAGCCTCCTACAATCACCATAGAGCCCAAAATTGCAAAGTGAAACAGTTAAGTGATTTTACCCCATTGTACAACCTTTCTTGCCACAGTTGTTAAATGAATCATCACAGTTGTTAAATTAGTAACACGGTTGTTAAGTGAACCTGGGTTGCCCATTGACTTTGCTTGCTAGAAGATTGAAAAAGGTGATCCCGGGACACTGCAACCATCATAAATTCGAGTCAGTTACCAACTGTCTGAATTTAGGGTAATAATTTCTCTATTATTATTAGGTTTAATGATCCAGTTAAAAACATAAAACTATGTAACAATATAATCAGAACTACAGAATTTGAAGATGCATTATAACCAACACAGAACTTAGCCACAGTAGTACTAATGCTAGGGTTAGAATAGAGTTTGGTTCATTATGAATACTACATAAGAAGTGAAATAAGTGAATTCCATATATTAAAAATTGCAATGCAGCAATATGTGGACAATGGTTTCAGTCTTCTCTGATTCCCAAAAGCAAACCTATTTCAGTAAGGGAAGTTTGGAGTACTTACTGAATAGAAGTACTAATGGCAACACTTTATATTGTGCCCAGACAAAGTCTTTCAACAACTTGGAAAAGGTGAGAAGTATATTCATTTAAAATCTAATGTTTTGGCTTTAAAAAGCTTTTAAATGTGGGAAAAATTAACTCTCCACCATTAGAGAAAAAGAATGTCTAATGGCAGGAGAAAATTATAATGCTGCCTGAAAGGCATAATTATGGTCCTTTAACTATCCTTTGATGTTGAAGACCATTCAAGGTGGTTGCATTTAAAAGTGTCAACCTGTTCAATCTCAATTGCTCTAAAAAAAATCTGGTGAATCTGCATATTAGTGGGGCTTTTATGTGTTCCAAAAAGATACAACTATAAATGAATACTTCGTTAGAGGCTGGGGCTTTTCTTTGTAGGATGATTTATTTTTTATTAAATCAAGAACACGAGGATGAGTGGTAGTAAAAAGATAAATTTAGTAATCATTAATTAATCTCTTAATTCCTCAATGTCTAACTTCTATTTGTCATACTTATTAATTAAGTTGTGGCAGAATTCTCTTCCTGCATCTCTTTATTGTACTAGAACAGCTTGTACTAGAACAGTGATGGCGAACCTTTTTTTAGCTGGCGTTCCATAAGGGGGGAGCGCAGGGGGTCGTACGTGGGCGTGCTGCACCCATAATGCAACACACATGAGAGACGTGACCCCCCCCCATTTTTGCATTCTTTTTTCACCCTCCCCAAGCTCCATAGGAGCCTGAGTAGGGCGAAAACAGCCCCCCCTCCCAGAGACCCTCTGGTGAAAAATAGCTTTTAAAAATGCTGAACTCAGCTGGCCAGTGTGCGCATGCGAACTGGCCAGGTGACAGGGCAACGCCTCACGTGCCCTGACAAATGGCTCTGCGTGCCACCTATGGCTCTCCTACTTTCTCTTTTCCTCTGCCTTGAGGTATCCTCAGGGGTCTGATGTTAATCATGGATGAAATTGGGCAGTCTATCAGCCTAGAAGCAAAAATGTGATCATAACATCCCTCCTTTTCTGAGCAAAATGGAAATTAATATATTAACCAGTATCTGTTACACCAAGGCAGCCATTTGGCTAAGCATCCAGTCCTCTGTTTTCAAAGCTTTTTAATAATACATAAACAAATAAGCATAAAAAATCATGCCAAGGCTCTTTTTTCTTTTCTCCTTTAAATAAATTGTTGAGAGTTTGAATGGCATTGTTTTCTTTTTCAGATGTTTCAAGTAATACATGTTGAAAAACCACTCTATGTGCAGGCAAATAATTGTGTGGAGGCTAGTGAGTGGATAGAAGCTCTCTGTAGAGTGAGCAGATGCAACCAAAAGCGATTGAACATCTATCACCCATCTGCTTTTTTGAATGGAAATTGGCTTTGCTGTAAAGCCACATCAGAAAACACAGAGGGCTGTACGCCATGTACTGCGTAAGTAACATCTACAAGAAAAATAACATGCATGTTTTGGAATAGAAATAATTTTGCTTACAGTATATTGCTGTGACTTAGCTTGCCTTCCTAATGACCAAAGGGAGATTCATATCAGAATTATACATGTGCTTGAGATTAACTAGATTTGAAAATGTATTAATATTTATGGCAACTTGTCATCAATTCTGATTATGAAACAACATATTAATCCTATAATAAATGAAAGTACTTAAGTTGCTATTTGGAAATGACTTTTTTTCTTTGCAACCTGAGTATATATCATTACAGTGCTCTTTTTTTCCTTCTTTCCTTCCTTCCTTCCTTCCTTCCTTCCTTCCTTCCTTCCTTCCTTCCTTCCTTCCTTTCTTCCCCACTGCTTCCTAGGACATAGGGAATCTCACAATAAAACCCACCAAAACATACTATAATATTACTATTAAAAAGCAATAAAAGTTTATTATAACTATAAAGTAAAAAAAATGGCATCCATAATACATGTATTGGTGGAAGCAAGTAGGGAGATATACTGAATGGATTTGGCATAAATTAGATTTAACAATACTTCTCATTGCAAGTTTTTGATATTTTGGTATTGATATTTCTTACTCTATGTGCTTTATATTCTGTTGCTTACTCAAAGCAATAATCTGATAGTTGTATATGTATGTGCCTAGCTTTCAATCTTATTCCTGGTTGTTGTTTTTACTAAAAAGATGGTTGATTGATGCTTGCTTAGTGAACATTTCTGTCTGCAGTAGTTACAGAGAGTAGGATTTCATACTTATTTAACCCTAATCGTATATTGTCTCAGCATCAAATAATATGAATGGTGTATACATGATTATTGCATGATATTAGGAATTAAATTGCAATTGACTAGTTTCACAGATGAATTGCTATAGCCTTATAGACTGTTTGAATTAATTCTGGCAGGGCGTATATTAAGAATTCTTACCTATCGTGATATAGTATAAATGTAAGCATAAATGATCTAGAAGTTTTGCAAATCTTCCTTGCTTGTTTCCTCTTTTATTTGTAAATGTATTAATATATAACTAGTGATTCTCCTTTAAAAATAACATTTTGTAAAATTTTGTATTTCTAATTGAAGAGGTGTACCTGATGACATTCAGATAGAAATAGATGGAGATCGAGAAACAGAGAGAATCTACTCAGTCTTTGCAATCAGTATGCCAAAACTCCAAAAAATGCAAGGTATGAAAGACCCATTTGTCAAAGTAACAATCAGTTTTGAAATATTAATAGCTAGTATTAGCTATTGTCTAAATTTGTAATCCCATGTCCATTCTAGTTAATTTTCAAATATAATAGGTTGGCTCAAAACAAAAATCATGTCAGGCAAAAATGATAGATTTCCAAGTTTTCCCCAGATATTCTCTCTCAGCCCCCAGCACTACAGTACCCCAAACCCATTTGGGAATCCCTTGGAGGCTTTTTTAAAAGGATGCCAAGCTTTATTGCATATAAAGGACAATGCAAAAGTTGGTGTGTTCCTTGCCTTTGTTTGCATTCCATATATTGTAAACACAGTTGCTTCTTTCAATTAGAAAAAACTTGGCTTAGGTTCAATTATTTGCTTTCAGTTACAGTGCATTCAGTAAGTACTCAGACCCCCTTCACTTTTGTCAATTTTGTTATGCTACAGCCTGATTCTACAGTTATTGAAATTCTTTTTTCCCCTCATTAATTTACAGGCATAATGGCAAAGTGAAAATAGAATTTTAGAAATGTCTGTAAATTTATTTTTAAAGACCTGAATTATGGCATTGCATGAAGTATTCAGATCCTTCACTTAGTACTTGGTTGAAGCACCTTTAGCAGCAATTATAGCTTGGGTCTTTTTGGATATGACCCGACAAACTTTGTACGCCTGGATTGGGAGATGTTCTGCTATTTCTCCTTGCAAATCCTCTCAAGCTCAGTCAAGTTGGATAACA